GCTCTCTCCACGTTGGTGTGGGGCAAGAGGATCACACTCAGGCTGTCAGGCTTGGGTGGCAAGGACTTTTCCCTGCTGGGCCATCTTTCTGGCCCAGGTCATAGAATCTTTAAGGAGAGGGCAAAGATAAGATGAGGTCATACGGATCCCGATTCTATCTGACTGGCATCCTTGTGAGGAAGGGAGATGAGGCTGCAGATACAGCAGCATGGCTGCATGAAAATACAGAAGGCATGCCCGAGCCAAGCAGAGGCTGAGGGAGAAACCAACCCCAAAAGCACCTTGGTCTCAGACTTGTCAACTCTGAAACAGCACCCTCGGGAGTGTAAGTGTCCTGGCCTGTAGTCCTCAAGACCACAGCTAAGGGACCAAAGGTGGTGGCTTCCCCACATTCCCTTTGTGAGCGAGCATTCCCTGCAAGGAAGGACTCCGGATACCGGAGCTTCTGGGAGGAGGAACTTAGCACATGACAGGATTGCTGCCCTATCCAGTAGGAAAGCCCGAGGGTCAGGAGCTGACTTTACTACTCTGTGGATGCCCCAGGGTCCAAAATGGACCCATTGGCGGGAGGAGGCTCCTTCTTCAGCCAGCTGTACTCAGAAGGGGCTGCTACACTTTTATCATTTGCTATGCCAAGCTGGCTGACTTCAGTCTCCAGATGACAGTGTAATAGAGCCCCTAATGTCAAGCCCCACTTCCCCAGGACAACCCCAGACCATGGGACCCAGCTGGGAACTCACCCATGATCTTGGCAGCTGTGGATGCCCCAATGATGATGGACAGGTTGGGTGCGATGAACGACATCCGGGACTCCACGTACTCGTAGATGCGGTGCTTGGAAGCATTCAGCTCCAGGGCCATGTCACAGGCCTCCTCCAGGCGCTCCAGCTCCTCATCCGACAGCTGCTGCCTGAGTTGGGAAGCAGGGAAGGGTTGGGGCCGGCGCCCAGTTCTGCCGCGCGCTTGTCTAACGGGTGTCCAGCCCCACCCATCCTCTCGGTTCTGTATGCGTGTGTGTCTGTCTAACTCTGGGGCTACCCCAACTTCTATCAGCCTAGGGACCACACTCTCAGCCAGCACCACCCTCACCATCAACCCCATTCTGCCCTTTCTGGTCTCTGCTGCCAGCTGGCCTATGGTAGGCTTGCAGCGCCTTACCGCGTGGTATACGTACCCCTGGGTGGTGGATGCGGTGACACTGACGACCATGATGGTAGCATTGGTCAGGATTTGCTGGAGGTTCTCATTGTTCTTGCACTTGTCCAGGCTGTTGCCCAGCTCCTGGGGTGGGAAGGGGAGAAAGAGAGAGACCGTAGTAACTCCCAGAAGATTCTAGAAGCTCTTTTGCTTCAACACGAACACAGGGCTCCCTTTGAGGAACCCGGGAAAGCTAATACTGGAGACCTCTCTTGCCTCTTACAGGTTGACAACTTCACTGCTGAAAGCATCAGCACTGCCTGCTCTGCTGACCCAGAAGTGGAAGCTGGGCAAAGTGGCCTTCAAGGACGACACGCTGCACTAAAGAAGCCTGCGGGAGCTCACGACTAGAGACGGACTTCCTCGGCTCCCACCCTGACCTCCTGGACAGAGGCAGGACCCCTGCTCTTTCCCCTCTGCCTGCTCCTGTCATTGCTCCCAGGGGAGCCCAAACCTTCTGTGTGTGATGTGCTCTGACCTTTCTGACCTGTCAAGCTCCCCTCCCTGCCTCTTCTCACTTCCTCCTCATTTGTTCCCACTCAGGATCTCAGCTCTTATCTCGCTGCGGCCTCTGCCAGCCTTCAGAGGCTAGTTCAAAGGACACCTGACCCAATGACAGCCAGAGGCCAGGGCCAGGCCAATGGGGATCCTCCCACAAGCTAAGGGGAGGAGAGAAGCCAGAGGTGTGTGTGAGACACCCTGTCCGGCATCTGTCCCTTCCCACTGAGCCCCGGCTCACGCCTCTCCATCGTTTTCTACGTCCCGAGGCTTCACGCTTCTTCCGGGACCAGACTCCTCCCCACTCACCTTGACTGTGCGGATGTAATCCAGAGCGTTGGGAACCAAGGATTCTAGCTCCGGGAATCTCTTCGAGTACTTATCCCGGATGAACTTATGGATAATGTCTAAAGTGGACAGGGAGGGTGGGTGTCCGCTGAGGGAGGGGGAGGCAGACTCTGCTGCTATCCCCAACACCCACTTCCGCCTCTCTAGTGAACAAGCCCAAATCTTGGGTTGGTGCATGGATGCCAGCATGAAATCTACATTTCCTAGCTGTCCCCAGGGCTATGTGCAGGCATGAAGTCTGTTCTAATGTCTACAAGATGTGAACTCAATTGGCATTTTCCACATCCAGACCATGGCCTTAAGGAAGCAGCCATGCCCTGTCTTCCCTCCCCATTTGCTGGTAGGGACGTGAAATGAGGCAATCACCCTGGAGCATGAAACCAGTGGCAGAGTCTGGTGGCTGAAGGGGTCAAAGGTGACTCTAGACCTGCTCTGTTTACTTAGACTTTCAGGAAGGAGAATACACTTTCTCTTCATGTAAATCAGTCTGTTACAGAAGGTAAACCTGGTCAGGGCAGTAGTCGAAGAAAGGCAAACAGAAGAGGTCCAGGTTCATGCCTATTCTTCCCTTTGCGTCATAAAGAGGGAAGGGCACACAACAGGGCTGTCCCCATCACTCACTCAGCTCGTTTTCTATCTCCACGGTCAGGTTGTTGGCATCCACAATGACTCGGTACTCGGGGGCTGCCTCCACTGGTCCCATCACTAGGAAGGGGAAGAAGGGATGTGGATGAGAGAGGGCACCCACCCGTCTGTAAGTCACAGAGCTAGGGAAGACTGGAGCTGAAGCTGGCTGGATCAGAAAGGAGGGGCTGAAGCATACACAAGGCTCTTGGAAACCTCCCCAGCATCCTCATTCCTGCCTCTCCTCTCTCTCCTGCAGGCCTCCTCTGGGCTAATCTAGTCTTGACCTCATCCTGCTTTAAAACTAAACCCTCCTGTAGCTCTCCAAAGCCCCGAGGCTAACGAGCAAGCTCCACAGACTGGCACTCAAGGTCTCCCATCTAGATGGAGGCCCCACAAGGAAGAGTAACGGGCCCATGTCCCCACATCTGCAACCTTGGTGCATACAGCACGGGAGTCACTCCAGGGCGAGCCACTGACTCATCGGCTCCACACAGCCTTCCTGCCTCATCTTCTCAGACACTGGGCACTCAAGGCTATTCCATTCCTCCAGGCCTTCATAAGCACTGTTCCCTCCCCCTGGAATGTTCCTTCCTTGAGTTCTCTTTCTAGAAACCTTAATGTATGCCTGATTATATTGGCATTGAATAACATGTGCATCCAATAGCTCTTTAAGTCATTAAAACTCAGAGGGCAGTGAAGACACTTCCCTCCCCTTTTAGAAGGATGAGATGTCTTCTCTCCATGCCATGACTTGGGCCACCTCTGCCAGACATGCTGTGTGTCTACTGCCATTAGACAGATCCCTGACATGAGCAGGTCTAACTCATCACACCTGACATGAGGAAATGTCACTTTCTGTGACTTTCCTTGGCTCTATGGAGCCAAGAAGCTTGTCGGCCTGATGGGTGAAATTCTGTAGAAGCTATTAACTTTCCGAGTCTTCTGGCACTCACGATGACTGGGGCTGGGGACAGACCATGCTCCTTCCCCAGGGTAAGCACAAGTACTCAAATGCCAATTGAGGTGGCACTGCTTCCCCCGACTCAATGCAGGGCCAGTCAGATCCCCTCTGTGGGGACTATAGGCTGGGTGTGGTGGCTCAAGCCTCTAATCCTAACTCTCAGGAAGCCGAAAAAGGATGGTTCTGAGAGTTCAAAGCCATTGTAGGCTACCTAGTGACATCAGGACAGCCTGGGCTACAGAGTGAGACCCTGTTTCTTCATTTAAGGATATATGTGAGCGCAAACACAAACACACACACACACACACACACACACACACACACACACACACACACACACTCATGAGCACGTGGCTATGGAGCAGAGAAAGCCCTATAGTTCAGGGAACCCAGAGATAAATCCTCTCACAACCAGAAAACACATAAGGCTTAAGTATCAATTTTACAGTACAATGTGGATATTCTTTCTTTTTTAACATAAGTGGTTTCTCACTTCTAAAATCTTTTATTTTGTGTGTTTTGCCTGTTGTGCATAATGCATGTAAAATGCCTATGGGAACCAGAAGAAGGTGTCAGATGTCGAAGAACTAGAGTTAAAAATAGTTATGAGCCATGTGGATGCTGAGAACCAATCTCAAGTCCTTTGGGAGAGCAGCAAATACTCTTAACTATCTCTCCATCTCCATATATGTATGTTTTTTGTTTTAGTTTTTATTTTTTTGTTTTTTGTTTTTCAAGACAGGGTTTCTCTGTATTGCTTTGGAGCCTGTCCAGGCTGGCCTGGAATTCACAGAGCTCTGGGATTAAAGGCGTGAGCCGCCAACGCCAGGCTATATGTATTTCTGAGACAGGGTTTTCCCTAGGCCCAACCTAACCTAACTATGTCGCTGGGGCTGGACTTGAAGTCCTGCACCTCCAGTCAGTCTGAGCCTCCCAAGTGGTGAGATTGTTTAAGCACCCATCAACATGCCTGAGTACAAACGCAGTATGTTTCCAGAGGGCTGGTGACTGGGATGAAAAGAAGAGTGCTATGGGGAAAGCCCAGGAGGGAGAGACATTCAGTTTCCAAAACCACGAGGAGCAAAAAGAGCCATGGGACCAGGAGAATGGGCAGAGGAGAGAGAGTGAGGGCGAAGAGGTACCTTCCGAGGCTTTGGCTTGTTTGCTGATGTACTCCTCAATCTTCATCATGATCTCAGCAAACTGACGGGGAAGGAGAGCACAGTCAGAGACTGGATTTTCAGAGGGGGGGGCAGTGGTGGCGCACGCCTTTAATCCCAGCACTCGGGAGGCAGAGGCAGGCGGATCTCTGTGAGTTCGAGGCCAGCCTCCAGAGCCACAGAGAAACCGTGTCTTGGAAAACCAAAGAGAAAAGAAAGAAAGCAGACTCGGAAGAAAGAAGCGCTGTCCCTCGCCCTCCGGGGAGCGCTCACTTATAGGGTGCCACCTCACCATCTTGCTATCCCATAGCTTGGCGATGCTCTTGACCGAATCCCCGGAGAGATCCAGCTGCGTCTCCTCCTGGACGTCCTCG